GGGCAGTCCTTAACTTCCGCGAGCTCAAGGTGAGAGCCGCTTTCTCCTGCTCAAGTTCTTCAATACGGACAGGATCCTCCCCTTCCTCGGACAGCACCAGGGCCATTTCGGCCATTTTCACCAGCCCGACTATGCTGGTGGCCAGGTGCCTCTTCCGATCCTCCTTACTCATCCTCTTGATAGTCTCAGCCTCGTCGGCAACCACGGACAGAGGGAATCTCTCGAAGAAACCCTCCTCTTTGAAGCAAGGGGGAACCCGAAGGACCTGACGGCACTGGTGTCCTCGCCGACCGCCGGCCCGCTTTCCACCCGGCTCCTCTTTCTTTGTATCAGGTCAGCATGTGGCTCGACCTCTTGAACCTCTGGGATTTCGTCCGACGCGGGCCCCGAGCTGGGCGACGAATCCACCCTCACCACCTGAGGAGCGCCCGGACTATGCGGCGGGCCCATCCTCGTTGCCTGGGGAGCCTTCACGACCCTCCTACCCCGCTTCTGGTTGCAAGACAGCTTCAAGAGTCTTTCCCGTCGTCTGGCCATCGAACCTGCACAAAATAAAAGACGGGTTAGTGTCGAGCAAATACACAAACAAATGACGAGCAAAGAAATTCAAGAAATAAACGACCTAGCAGACGAGCAGCCTGTCTGAACGACTGGCACTCCACGAGTGCCTTAGTATCGATCGGCCGGGACTCGAATGTCGGATAACCCTCCTCGTCCAAGACATCTTCCCCCTCCCTCGTGGCCCACCGGGCGGGGTGGAAGCTGTCGACGAACCGACAAAAAGTGGCGTACGCCTTCTCGTCCTCCGAACACATGTCGCCCGCAGCGGTATGATAGTATCCAGTCCCGTGCTCATAATGCCTGAACATCTAATGCACGGGGAACTTGGCCGTGCGGGTGTTTCCAACGATTTCTGGTAAACAACCGCTAGTCTTCCAAACTATCGAATAAACTTACTGACTGTTATTCAATTTCTCTAGTAACTCACAGGATCGACTAGATTGATCCTAGGATCCCTTGGTCATTAGGGTAACTCTCATGATCGAACAGATATTCATGGTTGGTATTTGAGTGTTGTATAGGTGTTTGGCTTATTTCGATTTCTCTCTTAAAGGTCTAAAGGTGTAATCAAAATATGCGTGTACGAAACTAAGTTGCATGAATAAATGTTAATTGTAAAGACATGTAAAATTGCATAAAAGGTAAGTAAATGGCTTCGAATTATAAAAACAGTTAATGTAAAAGATGTTCTGGAACGTAAAGGATTCGAAATATGAAGAAAGCGTTTAATGCAAGAAATCTGTAAATAACTTTAAGTAAAAATAGGCGTTCGAAGGATAAAACTTGAAGATAAAGGCATGAAAAGTATGACAGTTTTCTGAAATGTAAAGTGCTTTGAAATGTAAAGAAAGCATTAAAATGTGAGGTTTTAATGAAAAGATTTCGAAATAAAAAGACTTTGAATGAGAAAACTTGTAAATGGTATTTGGCAGAAAGATAAAGGAAAGTGCTGGAAATGATAAAAGGTTTTCATTAAATCATAAACATGTGGTGCTATCATACGTACATTGCTCTTGCATTCGTTTCCCTTGCCATGTGGTAATTTGAATGTTACTGAGTATTTAGTACAATAGATATGACACACGAAATCCTAATACTAAGACTTCTATTTATACTAATTCGACCATAACGGTCTTGCTATAGGATTATGCCACGTTCAGAACATGCAGAACAATGCCTCTCTCTTGTTTCCACGTGTCTCCAAATGCTCCAGCACATAAATTTCAAACTTCGAACGTCCCGCTCTCATTTGAATTTCAAATGTTTTGGTACTTTTCCGTTTCGAACGCACTTCCCAGACACAGCCTTGTTGTTATTTCGAGACTTCTTTAGATATGTTCCCATAATTGCCACTCGAAGCTCCAAGCTTTGATATGCTTATTCGAAACACTGCTTCTGCTATTTCGAAACATGACGCTTTGTTTCATTTCGATCGAAACGTTCAATTCACTTGGCCTCTAATAATATTATCAAAATCTTCAGCCAACAGCGGGCCATCACGGGATATCCGTCGTTGTCTAAAACCGCCTCCCCGTCATCGTCGCTTATGGGCGCCTCCTCCTCGTACAAGGATTCTAAAGCAGACGTGGTAACCGGCCTCACGACATACCACTTGTCTTTAAAACCCCTTACGGAGTCCATGTACATCTTGAATAGTCTCCTCGACTGTTTTAAGGAGACCCAGCTGTGCTTCCCTCCTCGGGACTGGCGCTGCAGATGGAAAATTCTGAAGAAGAGAGGTATAGTCGCCCCAATCCTCAGAAAGCGACATGTCAGCTCAAACGCCTGGATAAAGGCGAGCGAGTTCGGGTGTAGCTGCGACGGGGCCAGCCCCAGATGGGCGAAGACCCCGGTCTGAAAGTCACTGAAGGGCAGCTGCAGCCCAAGATCGTTGAACGTAATTTCGTACATGGGGAAGCTATACTCTGGGTACACCGAGCAGATCCGGGCATAAGAGGTCGGCCGCGTAACAACGAAATTCTTTTGAAAATCAGGCTGACCGTGGCCCGCCTCGAGCACAGCATATGGCTTTCGGTTACGCTGGCTATAGATCGACGCGATTCCTCTGGGCTCGGCGCCCACCTAATCCAACAGAGGGTCGTCGACAGTGTCGATCAAACTCACCGCCTCGTCGGCACTTTGTTCCTCCCGTTCGGGGCGTCCAGAGGAGCATGGCTCGTCCGCCATGGTTACCTGCAGAGCACGGGAAACCAGTCAATTGGGCACGAAACCATACGCTCGACATAACGGACCAGATGTAGTGTACGACAAACCACGTCGCTCCATGCACGACCACAAAAGTTAGTTTGCAACAACATAGCAGTCGCCTCCCCGACGTCCGGATAACTCGATGAGACCTTCTCCAAACCGCCTAAGCAAACCGACAACGCGGTCATTCACGAGTATGCCTACCCAAGGTATGAACATGGCGAGCAACATCATAAAACCTACGGCCAGAGCCATGAACATACCGGGCACGATCATGAATCAGGCGCCCTGGATCATGAAGACCCCGGGCAGCACTTCAGATTGTAACCTAAACTATGTGTCTACCGGCCACGAGCATATGTATTTGTCGGTCCTAAGCATGAATTTGTCGAGCTAAACATGAATATACCGGGCTAGTCCCACGCGCACAGTCCCTAAAACGTCTACAACGGTGAAAATCATGCATCACAACAGGAAAACGAAGAAGATAAATCACTTACTTGCAATCAGGGAGTGAGTTCTGCAACGGAGGGAAGGAATCTGTGACGGGAATCGCAGATATGCTATGAAAATCTGGAAGAACAGCAGCAGTAGGAGCGCAAAGAGTAGTAACGCGTTATGGGGCCCAAGGATCCTATTTATAGTGATGACGTGGAATACCAAACGTCACCTCGGGCAACCACGGAGTTCCTCTCCTCGACGCACGGATCCCAAGGCAATGATGACCCTATCATCATAGGGTGGCGGCACAGTTCCCGAAAGATACCCCGTGCGCTCGATAGATGCGCGCCGGTGAGGATTCCCCGAGCATCCACCACGAAAGATTTGTCTCCGAGCACGACACGGAGAGGCCCTCGAGGACCTGCATCTCTGACCCGGGCGCGAGACCCCGAAACGGAAACGACCTGAGATCAAGCCATGGCTCCTAACCAAGGAACTACGACTTGGGGGGCTCCTGTTCTGGACTGGGCCCGACAGGCCCAATAGCATTGATAAGGCCCAATCCAAATGGACTTGCTGAGGACCACGCCGACCAAAGGGACACAGTCGTGCCCGACGTGCTCCCTGAGGTTACTTGCTCGACCCCCAACTGTCCAGCTCGACATCCTGCCGTCCAACTCGACATCACCGCGAGCACCCCAACTAGGACAGACTCATTCCACTGCACTCCCAACGAGACCCCGAAAAGACCGCGTCTCTGTCCGCCCGCAGTTCACGCCGAACATCCAGGGAGGGGACCACGTGCGGGTTCTCACTACGCACGTAGAACCTGGCAGTTCCTCCATTGGGCCAAACCTGCCCGACCCAATGAAGGAACCTTGGCCCAGCGCTGGGGGCTATAAATACCCTCTGTTTCTAGAGGGTCAGGTATTCATCATTCTACCCATACTTACTATCGCCTGCTCGTGCTACTTACTTACTTCAGCAGGTACCCCCCACCTCGCTCAAAACTTTCAGCTCGGAGTAAGCCGTGACGGTCCAAGTCTGATCAGGTTAGATCAATTATATATATATATATATATATATATATATATATATATATATATATATATATATATATATATATATATTCTTTAAAACAATAAAATATAATTAAAATATTTGTATTGTAAAACTTAATAACTAATTAATTAATTTATTATTTTTTTAAAATTGAATTGTAAAATAAAACTTAAAATTTAAAAACATACAAACTTATGAATAGGAAGCTTTGCGATATTGTAGACATGCAACATGAAGTAACACCCACCATTTGATAAAATTTGAAGCAGTGTCCAACGAATTGAATTAATATAGCTAGCCATTAACCATACAATGACAAGGGTAGTATAAGAAATAATGCACTTCTTCTTTCTTTCTTCTCATTTTAAAGAAAAAATGAAAAGTATACGGAACTTACATTATATTCATGACTCTCTCCTTTTTCTTTCCAAACCAGACCAGGGAAATTTAGTATCTCTCATCAACTTCTCTCTTCTTTATTTCACTCAAAACAAATACACCCTAATTAAGATTGAGAATGTGTCATGAAAATTAACTACCACTCCTACTTCGTAATATATGCAAGTCAAGTTTCTTTCGAATCAAGAAAAATTCCACAACCTCAACAAATCAGACGAAAGAGAATAACCCCTCGAGATCTGCTTCATGTTCTTGACAGTGTTCATCAAATTGATAGGAGGTGCAATTAGATATTGGTGTCACCCTCATTTCCATCTTTTCTATGAGAAATGTTTTCACCTTATTACACAAATCTATATGTTACAACTCCATCACCATGTTTGTATTTTAATTATGGGTATACACCACCTCCACATAACCCATATTCATCTTATTCATCATCTCATTATTCATGCTACTATAATAATTATCATCAAGCACTACCACCAACAAAAATCTCCTCCACAATTAAAAGAGATTTTGCAAAGCATTTACAAGTGTCTCATCTCTCTTTTAAGAAAATATCTCAAAAAAGTCTCAACCCTTTCCAATTCACAATCAAAGAAAGACCTCCAGATCTATTTTCCTTTCTTCTACAAACCAAAACCCTTAAATCCCCTTTTTCATTCAAGCTACGAACAAATCACATCCATGGCAACTACTTCTCCCAAACCTTGACTACCTCTGCTCTTCCAAACGATGATGGGGGATTCCCTCATCAGCCTCAACAACAACCATCTGAGTGTAACTTCGTCAACCATCCCAATCGCATCAATGACACCACTGTTTCAAAACCCTCTGACCCATTTACAGTTTCCACGGACCCCCTCTGGAAATTCGCAAACAAAGCTCGCAGAGGAGTTATTCTGTTTTCAATCTTTGGCGAGGAAGAAGAATCCCTCAAACGGATGACTGCCACTTGAACCAACTCACCATCTATTTGATAAAATGCCGGATCGAAATGCTGCCAAATTCTTCATCGTAGAGGTGTTGAAACACAGAGGCCCCGATTTGAGCGGTTTGCATTGTTCTCACTATTCTGATGATGTTGATTCTAAGGTAAAAGATGCAGAAAAAGAAGTTCAAGGATCAACAGAGAATGCACTTGTCGAAGAAGTGAAGATAGAACCAATGACGGAGAGTGTGACCAACATTGGCAAGGCTAAAGGAAAAAGTGTCTCGGTCACACCTGATGTTGCTCATTCTTCATAAGATAGTTTGTGGATTGATAAAGGGTCGAAAGATCTCACAACATGTTATGTAGATGCCATGGAAGCTCATGAGGAGATTATGACCCTAAAGCAGTAGTTGGAAGAAGGTCAAGTGAAAATGCAGTCAAGATTAGAAGAAGAGGATGCCAAGGCATCTCTTATGAGTAGGATTCAGAGGTTAACAAAGATCATTCTGGCTTCCTCAAAGAATGTGATTCCTGGATATCCGACTGAAGCTCCCAACCACCAACGAAGTCACTCTTTTGTCGAGGAAGATAAACTTGATGCCTTTCGGGATGGTATGTTGATTGAAAGTGATAGTAAAAAAGATACTTCTGCAGTATCATCACATCTATTTCATGATGGTAGACATAAAGGATCATCAAGTAGATAGAATGGTGAATTTTCCCTAATTAGCAGTGTTATTACTGAATCAACACAAGCTGGTCAACTGATCAGTAAAACAAAATTGGCAGCAGGTGGGGTGACAATGTCTGATCAGATGGATCTTCTTGTTGAGTAAGTCAAGATGCTAGCTGGAGATATTGCTTTCAATATCGGCACTCTGAAGCGCTTATAGAGCAATTCGTAAATGACCCTGATGGATCCAAAAGTCAGATTGAGAACAAAGAGCGTGAAATCCAAGAAAAAAAAGAAGCAAATGAGGTTGTTAGAGCAAAGATTAACAGAGACCAGTGAATCATCTATGGCTAATTCATCACTAGTTGAAATGCAGCAGACAGCCTCAAGATTAATGACTTAGTCTAATGAAAAAGCCTTTGAGTTGGAGATAAAATCTACAGACAGGCGTGTCCTTCAGGATCAACTAAATGATAAGTGTTCTGAAAATAAAGAGTTGCAAGAAAAGTTGAAACAACTTGAGCAGCAACTGGCAGCAAGTTCTAACTGTACATCATTATCTTCTGAACAATATGCATCAGGAGCGGACGCTAATGAGTTAAAAAAGAAGATACAATCCCAGGAAATTGAAAATGACAAACTTTAGCTAGAGCAAGTTCACTTGTTAGAAGAGAATAGTGGGCTTGAGAGGCAGTTGAATTTTCATAAGCAGCTTTCAGGACATTCAAGACGGCATGATAATGTTCGATCTCCTACACAGAGTGTTGGGTCGCATGACAATGGATCAAATTATAGTTTTGAGAAAAAGAGGGAGGTTAAGGAAAGAAGCAGTGGTAGTCTACATCGAAGTTCCAGTTAGAAGGGATAAGAACAATTTCAGCAATGGGATTCATGAGTAATTTTAGAACCTTGAGGACTAGGTTCAATGTGAACCGGACGATAATGATATGAGGTGTAATTAGAAATTTTAATTAATAATATAATATTAGTTGTTATTTTATTTTGAATGTTTTTTTGAATTGGACTTTTAGTAGTGTTTGGGCCTTTAAGTTTATTATCATTAGAAGTACTTTATTCTGTAGTCTCATTGAGACATTAGGTATCAAGAATCAAATGAATGAAAAAGTTTTTTATCTTCCTTTATTTTATTTAGTCAATTTAATGTTCTTCCTCTTTTAGTGTAGAGACCCTAGTTCATAGTTTTTATAGGAAAACTTCTTATCACAAACTAACCAAGATGTCTATTTATTACACACCAAGCAGATTCTATATAGGAAGAGATTGTCTCCCGTGGGTTTTCTATACAGTGGAATGCTGGTCATTGATTTTTTAATAAAATATTAACTAAATTATTAAATCTACAATTGAATAATGGTGATATACACTGGACTATCTCCACTGAAATATTCACAGGAGGGAATCTAAGTCCGATTCTATACACCTTATAAGCTAATTTGGCATTCTAAAATTCTGCAGCAAACTTTCAAGTGCACCAAATACCAAGAAACATTCACAGGTTTAACATCCTTACATACCAAGACATGTACTTGCATTCAGACACCATTAAGATAAGCTATAATTCATGCTATTAAGTTGGCTTAATATCTCTTTTGGTCCCTTAACTTTAATCAATGTTTCGTTTTGGTCCCTCAAATAAAAAATGTTACATAGTGGTTGTTGTACTCCAAAATTTGCCCTCTCCTGTTTTCCAAGATTTTTTCTTATATGGATGGTCACAAACATTTGATTAAAAAAATGAATTTTTTGAAGATAAACAAGGTCTTTCGATTGGCATCTTGACATACTTCGATTAAGCACCTAACCTCCTCCAAGCTTGCTTCAAATTTCCAAGCTTCGATTGAAGCCTTGGCCTGTTGCTTGCTTGTTGTATACAAGCTTCGACTGGGCATGTGTTTCCTTTGAAACAACTTCCTTCGATTCAAAAGGGAAGGGCCTCATGTTGGTGCTCCTTCGATTGCACCTTTGGCTTTACACACTGGCTTGATTCACAATGCAATGGCTACCTGCATGCAAGCTTAATTCCTGTTTCAATTGGGCATTTAATTTCTTTAGAGCAAGCTTGATTCCTGCTTCGACTAGGAAAATTCTCCCTCTGTGCGAGCCTTCAGCGCACAAATCAAGAATCCCCTACAAGTTTGTTTCAATTCACCAGCAATGAACTCCTGCATACCAGCTTTGATTAGGCGCTGAGTATCCTTCAATCAAGCCTAAGTTCACAAAGCTCCCACTGGGCAAAAGGCCCCTCAGCTTGTCACCAGCGCACGTATGCCTCTTCATGCCTGCCTTGGTTTCACAAGGCAAAGGCCCCTCTCAGTGGTCTTCGATTCACAAGGAAAAGGCCCCATCTTCAGCCTGCCTTAAGCACACAAGGCCAAGACTCCTTCAGATTTTCCTTTGATCCACCAGGAAAAAAGCTTCTTTTGATCCACCAGGCAAAAAAATTTCCTTCGACCCACAAGGCATTGGCTACCTTTGTGCCAGCTTCGCCTAGGCAATGACTCCCTTTGAAACAGTTGTACACACTTCAACACGCATGATAGCCCATTCGAAGGACACACCTTAGTAGCTGTTTACCTTGGGTTTTGGTAAACAACCGCTGATCCTCCAAATGGTTACTTATTTGGTTACTCGCAGGATCGATCAGATTGATCCTATGGACATAGGTTGATTTTGAAGTTTGATTAATGTGGATAAGGCTTTAAGTAAAATGTTTCAAGTAAATTGCATAAAGGAAAGGCTTGGTAAATTAAACAAGGCTTTAAAGTAAAGGTTCGACAGGAATTTAAAGGGGAAAAGCATGTAAAATACTGGAAAAGTAAATGACTTTTAATTGATAAAATTGGTGTTTCACACATACATTTCTCAACAATTCTTTCGCTCACACTGGGTACTTGAATCTAAATGAGTGACTATGTATTTATTGTGAACACACGCGAGAAACTACACGTCTACTCCTATTTATACAAAAACATTCCAAGTAACCGTCGGGCAGTTACACTGCTTCGAGATTAAGCCACTTGGCACGTTCTCCATGCTCGACACTCCAGATCCTTGCACGTTTGCACGTAGTAACTGCTGGAAACCGTTTTCCCTCCAAAGCTTTGAATTTCAAACTGCTCCACTCTGGACCATCGAACACGTTCGTCAAGAGACGTCTTCGACGAAAACTCCTTCGACGTCGAAGGCAATCAGCCTTCTTCCTTGGAAGAAATCTTCTAAGTATTTTGCCATCTTTCGACGGGAACTTCGACAAGCTTAGCCAGTCGAAATCATCTTTCAGCTTTTAATGGCTGCCATCAATCAAAACAAAGGTGTCGAATTTAGGAGCCAACAAATTGCCCCCCAAGAATGCCTTATTTCGACTCTGAAAGAAAAAGGCATTCTTTGAAAACGCCATTCGACACCTGCTTTTTCCACGCTTAGTCACAAGTTAACTTGTGCACTTTTTGTTGCTTTTTACCAACTATTGGCAATCCCAAGAAACCATCATTGATTTGATCCTAGGACGTCACTTTCAGTACGGCGTGCAGTACCAAACGTCAGTTCAGAATTTGTCATTATGACAAATCCCAAAAACGAGGACGCACGCTGCGTCTCTCTGTTTCTGCAGAAACGGCCAAAACAACAGGATGCTGCCACGCGTCCCACTAACTCCTGCAGCATTAAATGACATTTAATGTCCTCGTTATTGGGAATTTTTCCCACTACTATAAATAGTAGTGAATATCCCATTGTGGGACTTTTCACGCACACTAGCTCTCAAACTCCCTTGCTTTCATACAAACTTGCTCTTTTTGCAGAAAAAACTCTTCCTTTTCCACTTCATCTTCATCCTCAACAATGGCCTCTGCTTCTACTGCCCCCAAGACTAACGCACCAACTGAACAGCTTGTTAGGCCCAAGGTCTTTGTTACTGCTCCGGTAGTGAACTCCACAGGGAAACGAAGGGTCCCTGAACCTTCTGACATCTCCGTTCGCGATGCTTACTCGCGTCACTTGATGATTCCGGTTGGATACTCCAACCAAATCTTCGCAATGTCTGGACCTATGAACCCAAGCATCTCTGAAGCTCTGAAGATCAAGAGCTATTTCCCCATCGTCGAGAAACTCAAGCCAGTAGCATGCGCCAAGAAGGACGCAGAAGACAACGAAGACCCTACACACGAGAAGATCGACCTTCGTTTCTTCAACAAAAGTGTTAGAGTCTTCAGGTCTTGCCCTAATCTGACCTCTGACTATGTTGCTTGGCTAACAAAGTTGGAGAAACATCAAACTCCAGTCTGGAAGGAAATGGGAATCTTTGACCTAGTAATGCTGTCGAAGACAGGTTTAAACTACTCCCCAGAGATGCTTATAGCTTCGATGCTGTTCTGGGACAACTCTCACTTCACCTTTCACCTTCCATGTGGGATGTTAACCCCCACACTCTTCGACGTAGCGGCCATTACTGGCCTTCGACCAACCGGAGATTACTTCGACCCGGAGGAGATGTCGGAGGACCAAATTGGTTTCTCTGAGACCAAGCCAACATTCACCACCTTTATCAACCATTATCACGACAGGTCGACGGACACAGTGTCGGATGTCGAACACATAGCGTTTCTAGCCTTATGGCTAACTCGCTTTGTGTTTTGCTCGAAATCTCTACAAGTGACCAAAAAGATGGTCACTCTGGCCACCCAACTGCATCACCGCCAAAACATCTGTTTGGCAGAACTAATTCTGGCCAGTCTTTATGACTCAATCAGCAATGGGGTTACTCTCCTGAAACATGTCGAAGATAGGAACAGTTTGCTACTCGCTGGGCCTTTCTGGCTACTTCAACTGTGGCTCAACGCCACTTTCGAATCTTTCTTACCCAAGAAGATTCAGATAAATGAACAAGCCCCAGCGATAGCTAATAGACGTATCGAAGGAATTAGGCTGGCTCTACTGACACCTGTGGAAGATGGGCTAGAGTTCCAACAAACCTTCACTAACTTCGTTCTGATGTTCGCTCGAAGGAAGGAATTTGTTTCAACTATGGCTCCATTTGCTCAACGGAAAGTGGGGCCAGCATGGTTCACAAGGCCACACCCAAAGGAGTCGAGTGGTCCCAACGTCGATGAGCACACTGTACTTTGGGAGGCGTTCCTGACACCCAGGATCATGCCTCTTCGATTTAAGAGTTCTAAGACTCATTTGAGTCTGCTTGCCTATCAACCCAATCTGGTATCTCGCCAGTTTGGTATCATCCAAACCCTGCCTTCTCCCATTTTCCAAAGAGAGAAGTCAATGTTGTACTTCTGCAACGATTATACAGAAGACGCTGCTACCAAGCATATCGGAAGATATGCTGGTCGAACAATCCTTTCGCTGTTCAACTACCAGCTTAACTTCCTTTGCTCCCCATCTTTTGAAGAGTGGTGGAGAAGCTATTATGCTGAGTACTTCTTCGATGAGAGGGACTTCATAGCAGAGTTGCAGAAGTCTTTTGTCCTTGTGTTGGACAAAGTAAAGAAATGTAAGTTCATGCTCTCACATTTACTTTTTATCTTTCTCTTCGACTGTTAGCCTGTTAACTTTCCTTTTCGCTTTCAGTTGTTCGAAAACCCTTGGCCAAGAAGGCTACAGGAGGCCCACAAG